TAGTCCCCAAATTGAACACGGCTATTAATTTTCATTGTTTAAGTGTAAGAATAATCAAAATTCATATTTAACATGAGGAAAACGTGATTCTAGTCCTTTTGGAGTTAATCTTTTTTTTCCCCGAAAGGAAAAATGGATCAGAAATTTTGGCCAAGGAAAAGATAAAAAATTAATCAATTAAAATGGGTGAATAATAGTTCAGGACGGCAGGTTAATTATTGTAATGATTCCGGAGTTGATTTTTTCTTCGACTTTGGCTTCGTTGACTTAGTTTTGTTCACTTTCACAGACTATGTTTTTTTTTTTTTGGGGTCAGATTTCACTGACTAATTTTATTATTAGTGTGTTGGTGTTACCACTTGCCTCCTGTGAATAGAATAAAATTGGAATTAGACGTCCGGATGTCTGGATCCAAACTATAATAAAATCATAAGTTTGAGATTGATTATAATATTATATATATGTATGTATATATAATAGCTAGTTGAAGTTGATTAACCGTGAAATTTCTACTTTTTAAGGTTTTTTTAACTTTTAGAGGGAATATATAACGATGTGGTTTACTTTGTTGTAATAAAACATTAAAATATTGATTCATAGATTTTTTTTATTTATATAAATATTTTTATGAAAAAATAACTTTTATAAAATTTTATATTATTTTTAAAAATTTTGGAAAAAACAGAATATAAAAACATATTTCTAATTATTTTGATAAGGTAGATTCGGAAAATAATAATGCAATAAATGAGTAATTTTTTTATAAAAATACAGATATACAGAGAAATATCATAAAAGTTAAAAATATCATAGACAAAGATATCATACAATTTGAAAATCACTAAATAATAGAGAATTTTATTATTATAATCAAATGTAAAATAATTTTATACCTTTTCTATGAAATATATATTTGATAAATCTCTAGATCTATTTAAAAATAATTTATTTTTCAAGCTTAAATAAACTAAACCTAGTCTGGTTGTATATTTATAGTGTGTTTTTCAATTATTTTTCAACTTTTAACTCTTTTTTCATCCCATTATGCATACGAATGTTTACGGCTGTGGCATTTGAGAGAAAAGTCACGAATCTTTGATTGGTTTATTTAATAAAGGTTAAAATATAAATTTAATAATTTAACTTTATATAACATTTTATTTTAATTCTTTAATTTTATAAAGTATCTTTTTAGTCATTTAATCCTAACATTGTTAGTTTTATTATAATAAATTTTTACATTAAACTTTTAAATATTGACAAAACATTTTCAAATGTTGACATATTAAGCTTATTTTTTTTAAAACAACAATTATTAACACAAAAAATAATAATTTAAAATTAATGATATTAGGATTAAAAGACTAAAAAATATTTTACAAAATTAAATGATTATTAAAATTTTATATAAAATTAAAGGATTAAAAGTATATTTTTAATATTTAATAATGGAAAAGTTGTATTGTATATATCCACAAGCCAACCCCCATGAAAGGGTTATCCCACCTTCCTTCTATATATATATAGTTGAAATTGTGCATTTACTAATAGAATAAATAATAATAGAGGGTTGTTCACATTTCACAATATAGTTTTCTTCTTCGCTCTATTAAGTTGCGTCAGCTTTAATTTGCTCCTATATTCTATTACTATTTTCTTGGTGACTCTGTGAATTAGGTCTCTTTCTTTATGTTTGTACAATTATGTTCCCATAAAAAATTTAGAAGGTTGGATGTTCACATTAATTTACTACAATTTAAAACAAAAAATTCTTATCCTAAGACGTCATCAACTGTACATATATGGAATGTACATGTCCATTTATATTAGTGTAAGTTGGGTACCAGTTGGTGCTGTACATACAATATCAATAATGGCACCCAATGGCAAATATTTTCAAATTTTTTTTATTTTTTTAATTTCATGTGATATGGAAAAGCGTAAAAATGTGGGACTTTTGTAGAATAAAAAATATAATAATTTAACTGATTTAATAAAATATTTTATTTATGATCAATCTGATCATAATTTAATTACATCTTTAATCATTAATATTTAAATTAGTATTTTAATCGGTTTAATAATCAATTTAATTTTTAACATGTTAAAAAAAAAAGTGTTGAACATGCAAAGTATAGTAAAATCTTACAATGAATATGAGAGTTATACTTAAAAAAAGTATTTCACTATTAATGAGTTTGATCGAACATAAAATAAAATAAATGAGATTACAATTTTTTTTATATTATGCACACAAATATATATTTTTAGGCATTTTTTTTATACAAGTTGAGGCCTAGAAGCTGGACCCTAAGGAAATTTTTTTAATTAATTTATTTGCTCTATCTTTAATTCTTTTTACATATTTCTTTTATATTTTCCCTTTATTATATTTTCTAAGAAAATTGAACTCATTAAAATTTCATCTCCTCTCTATCTCTTTCATTTTCCTCAAATTAACTCTTTATTTCTCTTAAATCAAATAAAAATTAATATAAGTGCATTGCGTCAGTGGAAAAATTACAATAATAAGCCACTTGATAACTAATAATTTTTTAAAAAAATTACAAATATCAATTCTAATAATTATAAATTTAGAAATTTTAAGCATATCTATAAAATATTTAAATTTTAAATATGTTCCATTTGCATGTGATTTTTATTTGAATCTAAATCCTTATTTGCAACTTAATTTTTAAATAACTGTCATTAATTTATTTTTTTCAGACTTAATTGTTATTCTCTCTCTCTCTTTATTTAGGTGGTGAATTTCAGTAAAAAAAAAAGTATAGAAAGCTAATCAAGCATTTTTAAACATTTTGAATTAATGAAATTACAACTGAATACTTAAATTAACCGACATTTAAAACTTAATGAAGTTTAAAGTATGCAATATTTTTTTTCACCAAGTGAGAGTGATATAAATGATGGTGATTTAGACCCTTTAAGTATCATTTTAGGATTTGATCATTGAAAGTGTGTAAAGAAAAACATTTTTTAGGAGAAGAGAATTCTTTAAATGTCTCACAGTTGTCAGTTATGGGGACATATTGGATAACTAAAAAAAAAAGTATATAGTTTTTTTCCATCAAAGCACATGATGAAAACGAAAAAAATATCAATTTTAACAAAAAGATCATAAAACGTAGTAATTTTCAAAAATTAAAAATAATTAAAGTAAATGAATCATGATTGCCAAAGTCAAATTTCCCACCGAACCAAGCCACTTCCTGTCTTGCTTGTTGAGTTGCGTTCTTATTTTTAATGGGATCTCAAATATTTATTATTAAATAAATAAATATTATTTAAAATATAATTAAATTAAAGTTATAGAATATACGAATGTATGAGATACTAATTATTTAAAAAACATAACAAAAAAAGACAAAAATGTTATTTTACAAAATTGTTGGTTGTTTGCTACAGCTAACGATACATTTACCACGGCGAACTATGTTAAAACTAATTTGGTTTACATTATTGTTAATGTTTTATATATAAATGATAGGAATAGTTTATTCAAAATTTTAAAATTCAAAGTCCAAGACAATACTCATATAATATTTTAGAATTTGTGGTGCTAATTAATTGAAGCCCACAATGAACAGTAATGGTGAACTGGAATAGTTTAAAAAAATAATGATAGAACTTAATTTGTTATGAATTAAAAATTTAAGATTTATTTTATATATTTTAAGTGTTTAGGGTTTAAGATATTTTTACAGTGAGAGTTCAAGACTTATTTTATTTATTAAACAAAAAAAGAAAAAAGCCGTTGAAGTACATTTCCATCCATCGCTGCTATTATATTTAAAAGGTGGTTTCAAACAGCACGCGAAATTTGAACGACGACTCTCATAGTCTCATTGCTCATATTCATGAATAGTATGATGTGTTCTTAAGTTTGATACTGATTTATGATTAAGTTAATCATCTCCTAAATTTAAGACAAAAACAAGGATGTAACTTAAATGAGTTTGGCCAACAAAATCATGAATGTATTAATTTATAATTATCATATTTGTTACTAATATTTATTCAAAAAAGTTATGTTTCGATTTTTTTTCTATAATTTCACTTAATTTTAATTAATTCTTTTTTGCCAACTAATTTTAATTAATTCAATTGTTATATTTAATTTTTTAATTTAATTCATATAATTTAGATATTTATATTTATTATTTATCATAATTTTTCCCAATATTCTATCATATATGTTCATGAATCTTATTTTATTACATTTATATAATCTTGTGCGTGTGTTATATCAATAAAAAAAATAAAAATTTATATATTTTTATTTAATTTAAAAAGATTCTTCCAAGTTGATGCACTTTAATAAAATATGCGTTGGCATTGATGAGCAGCGAGCGCTCATCACACGTGGCCAAATTGCCGTCTTTGACTTTATCTTAAAATAATCTCTACTATTCATTTTAAATTAATTTCTAAATATTATATTTATTAATATAAAAATTATAAAAATTATAATATTAAATCTGACTTATTTAGAGTATATCTATATAATATGTAACAACAATAAAAAAATTTTAATATTAAACTAAGTCATACAAATTATAATTGAATTGTTCAAAATATATTTAGATAGTTAAATTATAAATATTATAAAAAATTTTAATACCAAATCTCACCATTCAGATTAAATATGTACTGGCTAAATTCTTAATTAAAAAAAATTAATTAAAATTTTTTATGTTTTTTATTTTTTGTTTTGATAAATGTAATTAAAAATAAAAAAAATTTAAATTTAGATGATGCAGATTTTATCAAATATTATGAATATCATGATTCTCATTCTAGATGAGTACACAAGACAATCGAGATTCAATGTCAGGATTTTTTTTTTATAATTTTTGTAGTAATAAATATAATATTTAAAATATTTAAAATTTAAGTTAAAATAGACAGTTGAAATCACTTTATAGTGAGCGATTTGGCCACGTAATGATGAGCGAGCACCGAATGCAAACGCATAAAATATTGGCGCTCATGATGAAGTTGGTGAAGGTTTCCATCTTTAATAGTGAATCCATTATCTTTCCAGATTCAACAAACAGCCTCTCTGTCTCCGACGGGCGAAGTGAATCAATCAATTGAATCTCCAAGTGACGCAGATTGAGAGAGAGAGAGAGAGAGAGAGAGAGAATCGAAGATGAACAGGCAAATCTCTCCGCCATTCTTGATGATTATGATGACGATGACGATGATGATGATGGTCCAGGCAGATCTGAGTAGAGCGACTTCTTCAGAGAAGGTCAACGGCAGCTTCACCACCGCGTGCGGCCACGGATCCTTCGACTGCGTTGTCGGCGACGACCTGGAGATGGAGTTTCCGGTAGATTCGCGAGTAGCCAGAATGCTATACGATATCAGTCAGTCGACGACCTCAAGAACAAGTAATGCGAATCAGGCTTCTGTGAACTGTCCTCAAAATCAAGGTTATCGGAGCTGCCTTCCGTCGTCAAACGGAGGTGCTCCCAGACAACGCTGCGGCGACTACACTAGAAGTTGCTGATGATGAGAAAAAAAAAAAATCGCCGATCGACCTACTTGTAATAAATTGCTTATGTTTTGTTCAATGATTAATCGTGATGCGAATCTGCAGTTTGTTTGATTTCTGTTTTCTGCTCCTAGCTGCTTTGTTTTGATCCGTATATGTAATTGTAAGAATAAGTATGAATTCGATGTGAAGTTGAGTTACTGAGCAGGCAATAAATGTTAAACTTATATATCAAAAGTTTGTCCAAGGTTTTTGTTATAGGGTTGAATTTAAGCGTTATAAATGTTAGAATAAAATTAAGAAAAAATATATTTATAAATACTTACAGTTTTACTCAATTTTAAATGAAGTCTTTACAGTTTATCTTATTTTAATTAATTTTTTATAATTTTATTCATTGACATCTGAAGGTTAAAATTATTAATAATAAATTATTAAATTTACAAAACAATAATATTCTTAGAGTTTGCAGAAAATTTAATTTAATACTTTTAGCCAAAATTAAAAAAAATAAAATTTGATTTAGTCCACTATTTTTATTTTTATTATACTTTTTATAAAATTTCTACATATATAAAAAATATTTAGAAAACAATCCATGAGTTATAAAAATTATATAATTAATTATAATGTCATATAATCATTTAATGAAATATAAAATTTCTTAATTTTTTTTAAAGGAAAAATGTAAGGATTTTAACTTTCAAGAATTAAAAAAAAATTAATTGATTAAACTATAAGGGCTTGATTAAAATAAAATAAATTGTAGAAATCTAATTAATTTAAAATTCAGAAAATATGTTATCCCTAAAATTAATGTAATATGTAGTGGTTTTTAATCTTCAAGGTTTTTGGTGATCATTTGTCAACTTGCGGTACTTAAGCATTGGTTTTATTAAAATTTTTGCCAATATTTTATTTAAATTTTATATTGACTTATTTCAATTACAATAGCATTTAAACCTAATAATATAATCACTTTAATCTTTTGGAACTAATGACAATTTTTAATACACTAATTTACGATTTGGAAAAATTGGAATTTTTATGTAATTTTTTTCTCCAAGAAACTTTCATGTAATTATATTCCTGAATTGCTTAGTGCTGTCCAGTTGGATATAAAGATTTTCAGCCTTTTTTTTTTCGGGTAAAAAGGAAAATATATTAACAGTAAAATAAAGTTTAGAAAGTTAGAGATAAGGCAGAAGCATTAAAAGGGAAAAAAAAAAGAATAGGATAAGACGAGTCATGTACTCCACATTTTTTAACAGTATAGTTGTTAAAGTTGTCCAAAAGTTTTGTAATTCCTAGTCTATGGAATGTTGTCGGTTGGGACAAAAGCAAGCTCCCTTGTTATATTAGATTCTCAAATACCCAAAGCTTGCGTCCCTTTTCAAACTAATTCTAAGAAATATTCATGATCTATAACAGTATGCTGTGAACACATAAGGCCAAGAAGAGTTGTGGAGAAATAGCATCAAATTTGTTGAGAAGCAGTTTAATCCAACATTTATTGTTGAGAGATAAATATAGCACAATAAGATTTTTCTCCTTTTCTTAAAAACATGCGCTTGGATCTTCCAATTGAGAATATGAGCTTGATTTTAATGGTAAGAGATAGACATTCCTTTAGAAGTTCTAAGACCAATATTTTTCCCTTGATGTTAGTTGTTATTCCTTTGACATGCACCTTTGAGAAAGAGGTATTGCTCATTGAAATCTCTAATGACCTGTTCGACAGGAGTTATCTTTCCTGTATGTAAAGCATAATTCATTTTATACTATATCACATGTAGAAGTAAATAAATGCGTTCTAAAGTTTGAATCTCTTGATTCTGGTATAAAGCTTTTGAAGTTTGCAAGAGCCAAAAGACAAGACCTTGGGCAGAAATGTCCAAGGAACATATAGATAAGACCTTGATACAAAGTTTTTTGTGTGTCACAACCAAAGACACGTTGAATATTAGAGCTAAAATGATGTTTGTTTAATGTATCCCCAATGGCTATCGCTTTATGAATAATCTTCCAATTGAATATGAGAGTTTTGTAAGGCAATTGAAGTTTCCAAACAAAATCACAAATTCCTTCCTTTGTTAAGAGTCTATCTTGATGTGCAAAAGTAATTTTTGAGTAACCATCCTTGACTATGTAGGAACTAGAACACCAAATTAGTTGATCAACCAAACCAATAGAAGAGATAGGCATCCTTAAAATGGAATTAGCTTCCTCCCTGCCATAGAGTTTAGTGATGAGACGAGCATTCCATTTAGCAATCATTCAAGGAGTTGGATTATGAATGATAAGATTGGAAACTTTTGAGATGTTTAAATTATGGACAAGATCTCTATTGAAAGCTTCCACCAAGTTTCATGGGTTAGAAAAGTAGAATCTCTATTAACTGTATAAGATTTTGAGGAGGAAAGCATATTTGTTATGTGTTGCCAAGTGATATACTGTATGCAAGAATGAAGTTACAGACCAAACTCAATTTGTGGACTCACAGCAAAAAGCACTAGCCAGAGAGAGAATTCAATACTGGAAAGAATATGATAGATAACCGATTTAGTTTTGAAAAACTGATCCCCTTATTTTACGTGATTTTGAATCTGGGAAGATAACCGTTCCCTTCGATCTCTAAATTGAATCATGGGATTATTTACGTACAAAGGCCTAAGGAATATTATGCTCAAGAACCCAAACTCTTTCATATTCACAGTAAAGCCCCATGGGCTTATATACTGGGCCAATCTATCAAGGGCGGATAACCCTAGAACCTATAATGCTCACTTTGATGTTACCAGAAATACACCACACATAACACAATCATGGTAATTAGGATAAAACAAATCTTCAACTTAAATTACTAGGATAAAAACAAGGGTTAAATTTAAATCATATTTAGAAAATATTTTAAAAAGTTTGGGAATCTAATAAACCCTTTTTAAATGTGTTTAAGCTTAAACCTTGATTGAAAAATTATTATTTAAATATAGGAAGCATATCAATTATACAGGATAAGATAATAACTCAAACTAGCGTTAAAAGAGCCAAAAACAACAATTTTTCGCACAATACATTACAGTATTATGCCATAGCATAAAATTTTATGCTATAGTGTAAAATGCAGAACCCATGATAGCAATCATGGTAGATTTTTTGGTCAAACTTCTGACATAGCCCTTTTCTCTGTTTGATATTTGATTGAAGTAATTTAAGTATCTACAGAAAGCTTTCTTTGAACTCTAGTTAATGGTACTAGTTTTACATTCAAATAATTTTTTAATTAAAATTTTGATACTCAATTTGTACTTTCAAAATATACTAGGGCATGTAAAATCACAATTAAGTACCATAAGCTCACAACCTCCCCTAGACCATACTCAATAGACTCAATAAAAGTTGTCTAATACACCACAGTTCTCCAATAATGTGTACTATAAAATCTCCAATTAGACACGTAAGGTTACCCTTACTAATCTACTTATATCTCTAAGATCGAGGTAATCAAAGAGTAACTCAAAAAAGGATTACCAACTGTATAAAATTGCAATAGTAGGAATCCCAAGTTTTCATAATCTAAAACATTCTATTACTTAGTTGTGAACAAATTAGAGTTTAAAACATATGCTAAAGCTTGGGATTCAAAACAAGTCAATACATCTACAAAATAATTGAAAATAGCAAAAATAATGCAGCAAAGACAGGTACATCGTGGCACGTTATACTTTGTGTCATGCACCACAGCGTATTGCCTAAAATTTAAAGCATAAAGCTATTATATGATAGCTCCTGGAATGAACTTTTGATACAAAGAGCTTTCTCTTAGTCCTAGCTAATAGCATTAATTTCACAATCAATTCATTTTTCAATCAAAAGTTGGACACTCTTTATAAAACTCACTTCTTTTTCATAATATCACATAACTAGGGTCTTTATTTTCTAATACAAGTGTCAAAAGCTTGCACCAACCTTTAGACCACATCCAATGGACTATACAAGACTCGTGCAACATACCACAGTTAATCAGTCACACATATATCAAGCTTTCAACACCCAACCCTTTGAGTGACAAAAACATAAGGGGGAGTAATTTTTCATAAACTAACAAAACACTTATCAATCTCCACCAATTACCCAAATTTCTACTTGCACTAGTATTTCAGCCCTACTTAGTTTTACAACCATATCATAGATAACCCAGGGCACAAAATAAATATTCATTATTTCAACAATAGCAGAAGTAGTCAAAATGAAATATATGACATCTTAGTTGAAAAATAAAAATTCAAAATGCACATAAATAATTATAAGGCCTACTAGTAGGATCATCTTTTAAATCCTAAGCCTTTGAACATTTTTTGCAGTCTTGATTTAAAGAGCTAGGCCTTGTAATATTAAAGAATGAGGGGTGAATACAACTACTTAGTAACCAAGGTTAATCCAGCCTATACAATTGCATATCAATTAATATTAGATGCAAATGACAATTATAAACCTTTTCAGAACTGGTACATACATGTATTTCAAAAATAGTCTTGACCATAAAAATACTAACTAAGTGGCCGAGCACAAATAGATATCATCACATATAATCACTAATGCTCATATTAAGGTTGCAATAGTAACTACCACACACCTCCAAAAAAATACAAGACCACAATAATCACAACCATGTGGCCAAAAATAGAAGTATATGATTAATGCAAACCTTATACCCTTTTGATACCTTCGATATGAAACTGGTGACTATTAAGTGGCTATATCTATAACTCAGACTAATCAAGTCTTTCATTCATGAGGAGCTACTTAGCTAAGGCTAACTCACTCACTTGTGATCTGTAATTTTCTCTAATACTAATAACTATGGGATATTGTACCCCTAATCTAGCTTGCTTATGAACTAAGAAAGACTAATTAGGTTCAAGTTCCTTGAAAAACAAGCAGAACAGTCTCTAATTGATCATAGGACAATGGCTACATCTTGATTTTAATGGTCAGTGCCGCGGCTAGCTTTCAATTTTAACGGTATGCTCTCAATACCACGTGGATTTAACTTTACTCCTTTGCTTAAGTGAACTCCCACCACAATAATCATGCCATGTACATCACACATAGTATGCACATATATTGACTATAACATCCTGAATTTCTAATCCTGCATTAATGATTGATTAGTAGTTGAGTCAGTGATTTAATATAGGATTAAGGTTTTATATAGTGAAGTAATATTTTAGCTT